GCATTACTGGTGGGAATATAAAATGGAGCAGTTGCTGGGGAAAACATTTTGGCGGTTCCTCAAAATGTTAAACGTGGAGTTACCATGTGACCCAGTAATCCCACTCCTAAGTATATGCTGATAGAAATGAAAATACATGTTGATTCAAACACTTGTACATGAATGTTTACAGCGGCATTCTTCATAATAGCCAAAATGTGGAAACAACCCAAATGTCCTTTAGCTGATGAATGGACAAATTAATGCGGTGCATCCACAGAGTGCAATATTACTCAGTCAGAAAAAAGAATATAGTTCTGATATATGCCCTGATATGGATGAACCTTGAAAACATCATGCTGAGTGAAAGAAGCTGGTCACAAAAGGCCACATATATGGTTACATTTATATGAAATATTCAGAACAGGCAAATCCATAGAGAGTGAAAGCAGAGTAGTGGTTGTCAGGGTCTGGGGGAGGAGGGAGAATAGGGAGTGATCTCTAAGAGTTAAGTAGTTACTTTTTGAGATGATAAAATATTTTGGAATTAGATAGTTGTGATGGTTGCACAATCTTGTGAACTTACTTAAAAGCACTGAAGTGTACACTTTAAAATGGTGCGTGCTACAGTATGTGTGTTATACCTCAGTGAAAAGGAAACTTGTATATTTTTTTTAAATTTGCCATCTGTTATTTCCTCCAACATCTTTCTTTATCAACATGTCTTAAACTCCCTTGTCCATTTAAACACTGCTGTTGTCCTGCTTCGAATTCTAGTGGACATGAATGTCAGCGATAGACGTGTTGGTTTTCACTAGGTTTTTCTTTCTTCATCATTACAATAGTGCTCACATTGGTACATGTGTCCCAGCAAAAAAGTAGCATAGGTGAAGTGGTGGCATTGCATGGCCAGCATGTCCATCCTTGGGTAGTAATGGAGATCACCTGTTCTTCTCCCACCCCAGGTGCCTTCAGGACAATGAGTGGAACTACACCAGAGCTGGCCAGATCTTCACTCTGCTCCAGGTGAGGTCCAGGAATCAAGCAGGTAAAAGATGGATATCCCTGGGCCATCAGGAAGGCCAAGAAGATGGAGGGTGGGTGGCCTGGGCATGGAACTCAGGACACCTGACTCTTCTGACGTCCCAACTCCTTCCCTTCAGGCCGCGGGCAAGATCCCAGAGGAGGCCTTCCAGCAAATCTCATGAAAGGAGTCCTTGGATGTCGTCTTCGTCTCCACATCATTTTCATTTCTATTTTCAACAGCCTCAGGGCACGCCCATAACTGAGGTTGGAGGCCAGGCTGACCAAGAAGCCAAAGTTAACTTGTAGGCCAGGTCACATAACCACCCAAAGAGCCAATTGTTCTGTATATTTTCCCCACTCGTGATCACTGTTTATTTTTATAATAAAGAATGATGTTGCACGTTGTACGTTGTGTTTCCTAGATTGCTCTTCCCCTACCCCAACCAGAAGCCCATGGGGCCAGGACTGAAAGGCCCTGCCACCCCCATTCGCCCCTGGCTGGCCTTAGCAGGTACATCAGGCTTGCCTTCATCGACAGTTTGCCAGTGAATCCTGATGAGAAAGGTCAGGCGCTGCTTCCAGAGATTGGCCTTTGGAGACAGCAGGACTCTGTCAGACACTCTCCCTGGAGGCCTGCAGAAGCAGGCATGTTACCTGGCACAACAGGGGCTTTGCAAGGGATGCCTACTGGCTAGTGAGGGGTGTGGAAGGCAGGCAGACAGGCAGGAAGGAGAGGACTCCCACATTTTGCTCCTCATTCATCATTTGAACAGTTTTCAAAGACCATACCATGATCAGTTTTATGATTTGCATGCAGGTAAATAATGGGAAATGGGCCTTCTCACAGCTCTCGCCATTCTTCCATCTATCTTCCCATCCACCATCCCACCTCACCCCCCACCCCACTTCCTGAAGGTGCACTGTTCGAGGAGTCTCACGTTAGCACCTGCAGGGTGAGGGAGAGTCAGCCTGTCTGCCCAGCGCACTCCTCAGAGAGCTGACACCAGGTGCTCCATGCCTATGTTCTTGAGGGGGTTGACCACTTGTTTTCACTTCTAACCGAACAACAGTAGCACAGAAACTCACGTTATGGGCAGTTCTGTGGGACCTCTCTCAACAACTGACAATAAGCAGTTCCGAATTGCAGGCAAGAATTGAACGGGACATTCTCACAACTTTCCACGCTTCTTAATGCTTGCACTTTAGACAATAAGCAGGCATAACTTTTGAAATTCAAATAATAGCAGTACAAAGTTTTCAAGCTACCGTCCTATAAATGATGACAGAGGTGACGTATCACCAGTTTACAGATTATGCCTCCACTCTTATGTTTGTCATAAGTTATTTCCTACCACTTGCCACTTTTCGACTCTTTATGTACATGTACATTAGGGAGCCATATGTTGGAGTGTGAATTTTTATTAAAACTATGAGCTGGGGGGGAGGTAGTTGCCATTACATAGAGAATGATGCCAACCTTGTTCTTCATGTAGTGCCTCCATGGCCAAAGAGAAGTTCCCAAACCTCTTTAAGCCTCAGTCCTCTCACTTAGGGAACGGAGAGCACAAAGCACACTTCTCAGCCTTGTTGTGTGGACGAAAGACAGTCACACATGCTATCCACCAATTTCAGCATCTGCCCCAAATCGGGTTCCCTGAGTTGCTTGGGTTCCCTTGCAGTCAAGAACCATGGACTTCACCCCTCACCCCATCGCGCAGCTCCTGTACTTTTTCTCTCTACGTGATTAGGGATGCCACGGTTTTCCAGTTACTCATCATCCCGCCAATTCCCATGATTCCCTTTGGTCCCACGCTCTGAGCAAATGCTAACACTGAAGTGTCTATCTCTATCTCTGTCTCTATCTCTGCATGTGTGTGTGTGTGCATAAAGAGAGAGAGAAAGTATATGGATAGTGATGGATGTGTTCATTTAATTGTGGAAATCTTGACACATATACATATATCAAATCATTAAGCTGTACATCTTGAATATATACAATTTTATTTCTCAATCATGCCTCAATATAGCTGGAGAAGAGTATTATAGGCAATGTAATGTCAATGGATTTGACAGCTAAAATGAAATGGACACAAAATGTATCTGCATTATGGTTCCATTTATATAAAAATGTGTGTACATATATATTTATGTGTGCATTCATAATTGAAGTGTTCCAAATTATTCTAATGAATGATTATGCCAATTTAAGTGCCCAGAACAATGCATGAGAGTACCCGTAGGACCCTCCAACCTCAGAAATCATCTTGGAAACCAAACACTTTGCCTCATCATTTATAATTCCAAGAACTTGTGCCACAGGAAAAATTTGCAGACAGAGAAGTATGTGTATGTGTGTGTGTGTGTGTGTGTGTGTGTGTG